TTCCTTCTCTTTCCTTCTTTCCTCCCTCCTCCATCTTCCTTCTCTTCCTCCCTTCTCTCCCTCATTTTCCTTCTTTCCTCCCTCCCTCTCTCCTCCCTCTTTCCTTCCTTCCTTCTCTTTCCTTCTTTCCTCCTTCCTCCGTCTTCCTTCTCTTCTTCCCTTCTCTCCCTCACTTTCCTTCTTTCCTCCCTCCCTCTCTCCTCCCTCTTTCCTTCCTTCCTCCTCTTTCCTTCTTTTTTCCCTTCCTCCTCCATCTTCCTTTCCTTCCTTCCTTCCTCCTCTCCCTCACTTTCCTTCTTTCCTTCCTCCCTCCCTCCATCTTCCTTCCTTCCTTCCCTCTCTTTCCTTCCTCCCTTACTCCTCCATCTTTCCTTTCTTCCACCATCCCTCCCTCCCTCCTTTCCTTTCCTAGGAAACAGATAATTACCGTGCAGCCCTGAAAAAAATGGCGGATGACATCCTGTCCTTGCGCCAACATATTTCCACACTGGAGAGGGAAAACAGTGCCTTGAGACGTAACCTTGCCTTGCATGAAGACATTGGCCGGTCTCTTCTCCAAGACTTCGATCTGGATGTTATGACCAAGGCAGAAATAGTTGACAGAATAAGTAAGAGAATTGTCTCCTCCTTTTCTGCCCATTCAGTTGGGGGAAGGGTCTACTTAAAGGAAAAGAAGGAGAGCACCCCAGAAGTCTCCCTTTTCTTTGAAAGCATCCATCGAGGCCAAGGATCTCCCCCTGCAAAAGTTAACTTTGGATGCATCCATGGCAAGATTGCCACATGTCATCCTATGGCTTCCATCATGGGGTTGGGAGAAGAATTCTGACTATAGGAAGTCCTCAACTTGCAATCACAAATGAGCCCAAAATTTCTGTTGTCAAGCCAGACATTTCTTAAGTGAGTTTTGCCCCCTTTTATGACCTTTCTTGCCACCGTTGTTAAGTGAATCACTACAGTTGATAAGTTAGTAACCAGATTATTCAGTGAATCTGGCTTTCGCATTGACTTGGCGTGTGAGAAGGTTGCAAAAGGGGATCACGTGACTCTGGAACCCCTGCAACTGTGATAGATAGGATCCAGTTGCCAAGAGTTTCAATTCTGATCACCTGATCATAGGGATTGTTTTGACCAAGGCTTATTGAGACACTAATAAACACACATTAGTCCCAGAACCCTTTTTTCTTTATTTCAATGGCTGTGAATTTTAGTCATTCACAGCCCATAATGAGTCTGAAAGTTTGTAAATAGTCCCATGGATGTCTGCCAAAGTCCTTCAGGATAAGTCTGATAAGCACCCCCCTTTATCTCTCTTGAAATGCTGCCAAGAACTAAATTTCTAATTCGTTATACAAGGCCAAATGGAGCACAAATTCAACACAGAGCTTCAGGTTTCAAACCGACCAGTACGAACAAAGTTGCTTCCTGCAAAGGTTCCCATCCTCCTTTATGTCTTATGGGAGGGGCAATCACCTCCAAGCCTTACTCCCGAGTCGCCCCTTTTGTCTTAACTGTTCTTGCCTTCTGGCAGCTCTGTGCATGTGCGCACTGGGAACAGGCTCCCGCTGTTCCTCTGCCTCGCTGCTGTCAGATTCCGGAGGCTCCAGAGTCAGCACATAACTCCCAGGTGGCCCATCTCTGTATCAGATACAGGACCCTCATCTGAGTCCTCCCCAGACTCACGGATTGACCCATGTTCCTCCCCACTGTCCAACTCTGCTGCCGTCTCTGCAGGCTGCCGGCAGACGGACCACAACAGGGATTCTGCAAAGGTTGTAATTGTGAAAAATGGTCATAAGTCACCTTTTTCAGCACCGTTGTAACTTTGAACAGTCAATAATGAACTGTTGTAAGTTGAGGACTACCTGTACCTTCATTGGAGTTTTTGCCTCTTTTTTTCTCTCTCAGTGGCACTCAAGCAAAAATTATCTTCCGGGGCTCGGGAGATGGCCCGGATGAAGGATCGGATACAAAGACTGCAAAACGAATTGATTAGGGTAAGCGATTCTCTTTTGATGCATCTTACATTGGCCTTCTTGACAGCTGGACAGGACCACTAAGCCTTCATTTATTTATAATTTTTTGTCCCAAATCCATGCTGCTGTCAAAGTTCCAGCAGTTACCCCAATTAAATTATGAGTCTTGAGCCAAACTTCCAAAACTTCAAAAGGGTTTATTGGGAGTTAACATGTCCGGCACTGCCTGGGTGTAGCCAACTCTGAGGCACATCATTCACTGTCACCCTTGACCCTGCTTTCCCCCACCCCCTGGGTGTATCATAATTCATATTCTCCAATGGGACACATCCATAGCCAAGCGTCATCAATCATGTTCTCCAGTCAGACAGCAGAAACTTCTGTCACCTAGTTACTATCTCTGAAAAATTATGTAAGGAATGCACTTTCGATTTCCAAGCTGGATTTCTCTTTTCTCATTTTATTTTCCTTCCCACAGAAAAATGACCGAGAAAAAGACCTGGTGATGTTACAAAAAGCCCACCAACAACAGCAGATGGTGCTTCGAAAATATCAAGCCAAGATGGCCAAGATGCAAACCCTTGAAGATGCGGTCCGGCAGCAGGAAAAGGTTAGGTATACTAATCGGATTAACTTCAAGGGGGTCGGGTCCTTCAGGAAGAGGCAACCGGCCTTTTCCTATACGGTTATGCTCATCCATTTCCACAAAAAAGGTAATCGAGAGGATGGAGAGGATGTTGGAAGGGAAGATGAAGGAACGGATCAAAGAGGCCTCTTTTGGAGAGTTATCCAAAACGGCTGGTAAGTAAACCACAGCAGGTCTTCTCTTCGTTATCCCCAAGAGATTTGGCTGCCACCCTGAAGGAGATTGCTGGGTAACCCATTTCTGTTCCCAACTGAAGAAGAGATTCTTTGGTACTTACGAAGCTTTTTCCTTCTCTTTCTGTTCTTGACCATCACATACCTTAATGGTTCTCAGGTGACAACTGGTCCAAAGATGTCTACTCCACCCTATTGATGGAGAACATGAGGCTACGGGATGAACTGGGGAAATCTTCTTTTCGTTCACCCATCATATTGCAGCAACAAGCCTTACCCGTAAGACCCTCTGACTCAATTGCCTTTTCTCTCTTTCCCTCCTTTCCTCTATCCCCTTTACCTATCTATTTATGGGTATATCCATCCATCTCCACCCATCCATCCATCCATCTCATTATCTGCTCTGTCATCTCTGTGTATCACTCCACAAGTACCTTCTATTTCTTCCCTTTCCCACTTTGGCTGTCTGCCTGTAGGTCTATCTATATAACCTTCCAATTACCTATGTCCCTATGTGATGATCCGGAGTGTATCAAAAATATAACAAAAACCAAAACATAAATAAAGGCCCTTTCATGCCTTCAACTTGGCTTCACTGTTTAATTGTTCCCAGTTGAAGATCAAACTATTTTCAAAATAACATTCCAAACGAAAGAAACACGGTTCAAATTCAAAGAGCAGATAACGAAGCAAAAACCAAAAACAAACCACACTGAATAAAGTTCCATGACAGACCAGGATAAATAATTATAAACTTCAGGAAGATAACCAGGTACAGTCCGCTGGAAGAACGCCAACCAAGATGAACCTCATCTAGGAATAAAACACTAATTTGTCTCCAGCGTTTGTTAGCACGCAGGTCCAAACTCTTATGCAGATCTCACACCTGCAACCCATGAAGAGGATCATGGCCCTCTTCTCACGAGTAGACCACGTTTTTCCCTGATCCTCTCCTCCCTGCGTGCCCTAGGATGGATAGGGGATGGGCCTGGGTCCTCCTCTGACTGCTCAGCCGGCCTCTGCCCTTCCCCAGCCTCCTCCACCACCTCCGGAGCAACACTTCCACTCCCTGTTGGCTGTTCCTCCTCTCCCTCAGAGTCAGTCTCCATCAGGGGCATGACACCCTATTTATCCTACCTATCAACTGCATGTCTTCGTGTGATGATGCCCCATGATGGGTCTGGTCCAAAAGACAGTCATACAGAATAACAAGGTTGTAAGGGACCTTGGAGGTCTTCTAGTCCAACTTTCTCCTCAAGCAGGAGACCTAGACCCCTGTCTATATCATTTTGGACAAATGGCTGTCCAATTTTTTTCTTTAAAACCTCCAGTGTTAGAGCATAACTTCTGGAGGCACCTGGTCTTCAGTGCAGGCATCTCCCACTATTTGACTCCTTTAACTGAGTTGAAGGGCCCTTTGTAACCCAAAACCACATGAGTCTATTTGAATTTCTTGGCTTTCTTCTCCATCTGTGAGCCATAAACACTTTTTGATGTCCCCCGCAGGATACATTTTCAACCAGCTCAGAAAAGCTCTCGTTGGTTTCAAAGCTGGAGAAGGCTGAGGCACGTATACTTGCCTTGGAACACCAGGTAATTGTCATCTCACTGGCATGAAGTTTTGACGTGATCCCTCCCCAGATGTTCCTCTGAAACCAGAATGAGATCCAACCACTTTTAATCTGTGTTCAGACCGAGCAGCGTTTCTCAACATCAGCAACTTCAAGATGCATGGATTTCAACTCCTAGAAGCCTTTGCTGACTCGGGAATTCTGGCAGTTGAAGTCCACCCTTCTTAAAGTTGCTCAGTTGACATTGAGAAGTCCTGAAACAGAGCATTGATTTATAACTGGTACTAATTCTTAGTGTCTTGAGTTTGTGGTTGACAGCTAAATTCAGCTTCCTGGCAAATGCTCAGAGTTAAATTTAGAAATCATGGTTTTTAAAGCAGAAATGACTTCTGCTAAGTTTGGCCGCTTGGCCAATGCTCCCATATGCCCTATGCTGATGACAGTTTATTTATTAATTAGATTTATATCCCATCTTTATTTGGACAGCTCATCAGCTGTGTTCATAACTCTATTCTTCCTACTTCCCCTAACCCCCAATAACAATATGTCAGGTGGGTTGTGCGATGAAGAGATGAGGGAAGGCCAGACCTTGCCATCTCTCCAATTCTTGTCCAGCTTCTTAACTTGGTTCTGGTGGCCAACCATCAAATGCTAAAGCATCAACTCTATGTCATAACCGAGGCTCTGAGCCTGTAAATGTTTCTTTGCTTTGGTGTAGCTGGGGGACTCTGCCAAGAACTGGGGCCGAGAGAAGCAGAGTTACAACTCTCGTCTGCTTGAAAATGACCTTGGATTTGACCGATCGCCGTCCTCGTTCATAGTTCATGACATTTATCCGGTGAGCAATGGACATAAAACAACAGAAATAGTCTAGCAGGGAAGGCTAGATAAAACTTCTAGGTCACTTCAGTAGTGATACCCATGTGTGTAGAACCATGCAAGATGGTTCTTGGGTTGGGATGGGACAGTGTCCATCACTGCAGAATAACCGAATTGGAATGAACCTTGGAGGTCTTCTAATTCAAGAAGGAGACCCCATACTGATCCAGACAAGGGGTTATCCAGTCTCTTCTTAAAACCTCCAGTGATGGAGCACCCACAACGTTTAAAGGCAAGTCAATCCACTGGTTCATTGTTCTCACAGTCAAGACATTTCTCCTTAGTTCTAGGTTGCTTCTCTCCTTGACTAGTTTCCACCCATTGTTTCTTGTCTTGCCTTCTGGTGCTTTGGAGAATAGGTGGACCCTCCTCCTCTTTGTGGTAGCCCCTCAAATATTGGAACACTGCTATCATGCCACCCTTAAGTCCTTATTTTCACTACATTAGCCATACCTAGTTCCTGCAACTGTTTTTCATATGTTGCATATGTCACAAACCTCCAAACTTCTATTGTTCAGGAAGGGGGGCCCATCTTTTCCAACTGTCTCAAGTGGACATCTCGGTCTGCATTGTGACTGGTTGGGCTTGTCCAAGTGGCTACATCTCCCATGGCAAAACACATTTTCTTCTCTTCCAAAGATAATATTTTGCTTTGGTTGAGACTGAAGTGTGGAAAAAACTTAATCCTGGGAATTCTATGGCTCAGGATTCAATCCTATTTTTCCCATTGATAAAAACGACCTTCCCTTTCATTTTCTGTTAAATTCATTATACCCAAGAAGATGTAAGGTTACCATGAAGCCACCATTCAACAGTGGGACATGATCCTCCAAAATGGAAAGTGGAGGATCAGAAGGGAAACAAATTTGGGCAGAATTTGGAAGAATTTGGAAATGGAGATCAGCTTTTGATACGAAAGAGAATGTTTGTTCTTAACCCATTCACATGTCTCCCCTTCATCCACAGAACGAGAAGGAAAGGAGAGAGGATGAAGAAAAGTACAAAAACTCAGGGAAGGTCATACAAAAGTAGCCAGTTATGGGGCCGAATCTCCTTATAGGTCAGTGTTAATTCTTAGCCACAATTGTAAGCCAAGATTGCACAGCTTTGGGTGGGGGGTAGGAGTGAGGGCTGTAGGCCACATTGGTCCTTTCAAGAATGCCTTGTAGACCAGACTTCCAAAGATGAAAGAATCAGGAAAAAGCTTGAGCAAAGAACATTGTCTTGTATACTTTAAAAAATAAAAAAAACCAACAGTGGAGATAGATGACAAGGGTAGACACAAATGTATTGATAAAGGTTGTTTGTGGAGATGAATATCCCAAACCAACCTTGTTTGGTATCTGAGGTTTCTCTGAATCCCGTTGCTCTTTTTTTTTTTTTTTTTTTGATGTTTTAAAAAATTAACCTCATTGAAATGGACCACCTTTTGAATGAGATGGTTCCAGGGTTGGGATTCTACCAGTTTGGCCCAGTTTGGGAGAACCGGTAGCTCCGAGGATCAGCTGTTGGGCCCACCTGGTTTTTAAGCTCATCTGATTTGCTGGAGAGAATCAGTAGCAAACACTTATTGAACCAGTTGTTACACCAGTTGAATTGCACCCCTGGATGGTTTTCGTAAGTGGAAGTATATTTTTAACAATTTCTCTCCCTCTCCCTCTCCCTCCCTCCCTCCCTCTCTCTCTGTCTCCACCGACTCAAAACAAAACAGGGGCTCCCAATTTTCCCACAGTTAATGTTTTCTCTTTTCTCTTCCATTGATTATGGGAAATTACTGTTATTGCCAAACACAATCAGTCATGCAGAGAGGTGGGCTTGTCGTAGCCTTTCTGGGGGAAGAGCTGTAGGCCATGCTGGAATAGTTGCAATATTGCTACTCCTGAGAAAGGAGAAAGAGGCTGACCTTTTCCTGCCATCAGAACTGGTTTGTTGAGATACAGCCAATCTTAGCTGTGTCCTGAACTTCAGCCAAGGAGTGGGAGTAATCTCAGGGGAAAGAAACTCCTGGAAGACCTTTTATGATGGTTTCGTAACGTCAACATATCCTCCACATCAGCCTGCTTTCACAACATTGCCATGACTGTCCACACCCATTGGCCGAGGAAGTTTGGGCCGGGTCAAACTGGTCCCCAGAGGGGAAGGAGGAAGCAACAGTGAAAATTGTGTTCTGACACCACTTCTTCCATCCTTCCTAGAAACCTCATTAATCCAACACAACTCAAGAGCCGTTGGAGTCCACAGCCTTCGACTCTAGTCTGGGAGGAGACCCTGGAATTCTACCTGGTGCAGCAGAACATAATATCTATTGTAAAATATATACAGTTATATACCTCTTTCCTGGAGAGATGAGCTGAATACAGACTTCTCTGTAAACTACATGACAGTGTTGGTGCCTGTGATGTAAATTTTGTACGGTACATAAAATGTCTCCCCCTTTTGAGTTTGTAATGGTATGTGAGGATGTGCCTTGGCAGACAGGAGGAAGAGCTACAAACCAGACAGCAGTCAGATCATGGCTGATCTGGAATATGGCTGTGGGGAACATCTCCCTAGCTTCTCAGACCATAAAGGGGTGGGAGGGGTTGAGAGATACTTCCAGACTTGTAAGATTCTATTAATGTAAGCTTACAATCAAGCAAGAGCTTCTGGCTGTGATATGAGCTTATTTTTTCCTAGTTCTGTTCTCATTCGTCTGCATGCTTAGCCAACGATGAAGTCAACAGCTCTGTTTTGGAAAGTGACTCAGTAGCAATCATCTTTCACTGACTTTATTATGATCTTAGTTTTCGGACTTGGTTACAGAACATTGCATTTCAAAAACTTTATCGGAGCATAAGAGAAATCCTGGTTGGAAACAAATTGTGGAGAGGATCTGACCATCTAACCATGATTACTTTAAAATTAAGACTCCTCATTCATGTATTTGCTTATGTTGGCCTAGGGTTTTAGGGTGGGCACCCTAAATGCGTCAGTTTGTCAGGAGATTCAAAAACGAGGAAAATAACTTTATTTCATCCAGCACACAGAATTGACATGTTAATAGCTCAGAAAGTTGTAATGGACTAGAGAAATGGACAGAGAAGAGGTCAACCAAAAGATATAGCCTCTGCCTTCAGACGTAGACTTCTACCATTGCCCGAAAGGAAAAAATCAAAAGTTGAGAGACCCTAATAAATACCATACCTTCCTTAAAAGCTTCCCAAAGGGATCTGGTTGGACATTATGGATGAGATGGATGAGATTCAACCTCAGTCCAGCAAAAAGGTACTTCCATCCAATGAGAAGGAATCTTCTTAAATCTAATAACATTAAACCTAGTAGAGTGCTACATGTGCAGGGTTTCTGGGCAGGAGAATCTTTTTCCTATCTAAATTGTATTATATAAGACAGCCAGAATATCCTGCTGCACCCCAACCTTGGGATGACTTTTATGTTTAGTAAACATCTGACATTGGAAACACCATTGGACTGTGATCCCTAAGAGCCAAGCTGGCAACTCCGTCCCTTCTCCAAGCGTTTTAAAAGAGGCACCAGGTGCTTGTGGAAAATTTAACCCAATTCACTGCTGGGAATGATGGCGCCGTAGTGTCAAATAGATTGGCTTGTCTGGAATCAGGATAAGGCCAAAAGTGGTACCAACCTCCACGCCTCTCTTTATTTCAATCTTGAATTTTTCCAGCATCTGAAGGAGAGAGAAAAAAAGGGGGGGACCAGAAGGAAGTCATATAAGGCTGCCAAATCATGCACCTCAAACTTCAAAATCTGTCTTTACATAGCAAGGATTGGCCAGAGAGTCATCTGAGCTTGGTTGTTTTCTTGTAGAGGTTTCATGACCTGATTAGGTAACTTCATCAGTGCTAGAAAGAAGTGAGAGGAGGAGGAGGAGGAGGAGGAGGAGGAGGAGGAGGAGGAGGAAGAGGAGGATTGATTTGGTGCCCTCTGAGCTCAGTTGTTTTTTTCAAGAAATTTCATGACCCAACTAGATAACATCATAAGTGCACTGATGATGTTACCTAGAAGATGTTTCCTTGTTGGGTAATGAAACATCTGCAAGAAAACAACCAAGGACCCCACAGTTCCATCCTGAGCTAAACATATTCTCTCCTGTCATCATGTTACCGGATATATATATGTTTTCTTAAGTTTTCGCGGGTACTTACATGTATGGTGTTCGGCTTGGTTCGGGTATTTTCCCACGTCATTGTAGTTCTTTTAAAGTTGTAGCAACGTTTCAGCAGAATCTCATCTGCCATCATCAGGCTTCTGTATTGTGTCCGTCTGTGGGTCAGACTTTTACAGACTTTTATATATATAGTATTCAGCTTTGTTCGAGTATTTTCCCATGTCATTATAGTTGTGCTTTTAAACGTTTCGACAGAATCTCATCTGCCATCATCAGGCACAACTATAATGATGTGGGAAAATACCCGAACAAAGCTGAATACCATACATGTAAGTACCCGCGAAAACTTAAGAAAACATATATATATATATATACCAGTCCACCCTCTCCATATTTCTCCAGCCTGCCTTCCATGATGAGTTGGTGGCAGAACTGGACTTACATGGATCAAAAACAGCTGCATCTCCATCTCGGCAATTCTGCGGCCAAGACACTGACGTGGCCCAAAACCAAAACTTAATCCTCTGAAATATTTGGAGTCTTCGGTCTTAATCCACCTTTCTGGGTTGAACTGCAGAGGTTTGGAGAAAAATCTGGAATCCCGAAACATGGCATAAAGTCCTACCTGGACTAATATCTGTGAAGAAAAGATGGGGGGGGGGGGGGGGGGGGAGAAAAAGATAAATTAGGATTTATGAGTTGTATCAAAACAAGATTTAAAATAGCATCAGCAAGAATGACAATGTCAATGTTCCAACTAATCAACCCCAAACCAATAAACTCCAAAACAAACAATTCCTCAAAGTTCCATTTTATTAGAGTTGTCATATTGGCACATCTGGGAAAACTTAAATCTGAGAGTTCTGGGTTTTCCCTACCCAAAAGAGAAATCAAAGATTCATCCTCTGCACCCATCAGTCCATCACAAGGCCCAATCAAATCATCAGAGACATTCCTCCAGTCACTCCCTCCAGGTGCAGGGCAACCTGTCCTTGACTCTCTGAGAAAGAATGTTGTTGTGTCTAATCTTCTACTCCACTATGAACCCTCCCCCTCCCAAATTCCCAGGCACTGAATGTGGCAGTTTTGAAGCTTCCAAGTAAAAAAATGGCTTCCAAGGCTGACAGGCTTCTGGCAACTTTTAGGTGTCTTCAACCATCTTTTGGCCAGCATGGTACTAATGATGACAAGGTTTATCTCATCACCACAATAGGTTAGGTGATGCTAGAAGACAATACAAGTCACCAGTGGGAAGATGGTCTCAAACCAATATATATATTTTCATGTAAGTATGGAATAATCTGCTGCTCCAATTCAAATGTGGAATGCTCCTTGTGTGATCTGAAGGGAATGACTACCTTCGCCAATTTCAGAACTTTGGAGAAAAGGCAGGGTTTGAAATTTGTTTAAAAAAAAACAACAATCATCCTCATTACCAGATTACTCACATTGGCAGGGATACGGTAATTCTGAAGCACAATCTCTTGGGTTGTGTATCTCTGCAATGTCACTGCAACTGGATGGAGCCTAGAGTGAAGTCAGAGGAAGAAGAAACACATTTATCATCGAAAAGTTATTTTTCCAGCCCAAGGAGACCAGCATAGGATTCAACAACAATTACAAACTACTAGACAACATGTGACTCTTTGGGACGTATTTCCAAGGCCTTTCCTTACCAAAGTCAGCCATGGAAGCCATATTTTACTTAGAAGCTTTGAGGCTGCCCCATTCAGTGCGTGAGAATTTGGGAGGGGAGATTTCTTAGTGAATAGACGATTAGACGCAACAACATTCTTTCTTAGAAATCAAGGACATGTTACCCAGCACCTGGAGAGGAGTGTCTGGAGGAATGGCTCCAGTTGAGACGACAATTTGATTGGGCCATGTGATGGGATGATGGGTGCAGGGGATGGATCTTTGAATTTCTATTGGGAAGGGAAAATCCGAAACTGAGAGTTCCAGGTTTTCTCTTCCCAATAGCAAGCCAAAAATCCATCCCCTGCACCCACCAGTCCATCACATGGTCCAATCAAACACCATCCCAGCTGGAGACATTCCTTTAAACACTCTTCTCCGGGTGCAGGGTAATATGTCCTTGACTTTTAAGGAAGAATGTTGTTGAGTCTAATCTTCCACCTCTCTATGAAATCCCCCCTCCCAAATTCCCAGGCACTGAATGTGGCAGCGTCAAAGCTTCTAAATGAAATATCGCTTCCAAGGCTGACAGTACCTGTCTTGAAAGTAGCCCCATGTAGAACTGTGTAGCACATTCAAACATCAGGAGTTGACCCACAGGAAATTTTTTTTTTAACATTTTGTACCTTAGTGTTTCTTTGATGGTTGCTTTGAGCAACGGGGTGGACTTCATCATCTTTGCAACATCTCCCTGGGAAGATGCTTTGGCTGCAGAGATTTCAGATCTCAGTTGGTCCTGAAGGTGTGGCGCGCGAGCGAGTTCATACAGAGCCCACTGGAGGGTGATGGAAGTCTGAATGAAAATACATAATATCAGGCCATGGGTGTGTTCTTAGGTGGGTCTTCTCAGCCACCCCTGCAAAAAGTGCTTCCTTTAGTGCATGGGTCTCCAACCTTGTGGACTGGCTGGAGAATCCTGGAAGTTGAAGTCCACAAGTCTTAAAAGTTGCCAAGTTTGGAAACCCTTGCCTTAATCTACAAGATTTGAGGTTTCTAACTGGACTGGAGTATCTCTGGACCTTAATGTTTTAGGTCCACCAACTTATCGAGGTAGAGTTCAATTTAGGTCAGACAGAGGGGGAGATGTGTTTGAAGTGGCTGGAGAGAGACATATGGGATTAAGGAAACCATCCGTGAACAGAGGAATGTCCTGAATGGTTTTAATGGCCAGCAGAATGCAAAGATCACCAATTCCTCAAAGAGTTTCTTAAAATGTTGAATAGAATCAAAGCAACCATTTGAAGGGGACATCTGAAGAATCTGTCAAGGTCTCTCCTTACCGTGTCCACCCCTCCTGCCATCATCTCAGTTATGCTGGCTTTGATGTCTTCTATTGGCATCTGGTTCTGTATCAAAAGGCTGCAGAGAATACCTCGGTATTCTTTGGCACGCTGCTGGTTAAGACAGAGGTCTTGGTAGATGTTCTGTATACATTTGTCAGCTGGTGAGATGGAGACGAAATGGTAGATATAATAAATAAAATACAGTACAATTTTATTGAAACAATAACATCGCCATGGAAGCTTCCTCACCAAGTTCTCACCAGACTAGCCACTTTCTGTTCTGTCACTGGGTGCAGGATCACCCAACCACCACAGGTCCACTCACCATGCATGAAGATGACATCCCAAGCATTGACATGGTCCTGCCAATACTTGGAATTGATCCTGCGCAGAAATTCTGGTGGTATGTACAACATGGGTAGAGTGGAATTAAACATCAAGGTGATGGCATCAATGAACTTCTGTGCCTCGGGGTCAATGAAATCCTGAAGAAGTCCCAACCGGCTACCGTAGAGGACATTGCATATAGCTGTGGGAAGAGAGAGATGGAGAAGATGGATGAAACTATCAAGTCCATGTCTCCCGCAAGGGCAGAGACCATCTTCTAATGAATTTGTTGCGCATCACATCTGTTCCTGTGGGGTTCTTGATGCTCTCTGAACTTGGTTGTTTTCTTGCAGGCGTTTCATTACCCAACTAGGTAACATCATCAACACTGATATTGTTGGATAATGAAACAAGAAAACATCTCAGCTCAGGGTGCACCAAGCACCCAACAGTTCAACCCCTGAGCTACAAATTCTCTTCTATCAACCCTTCTGTTCTTCAAGAGGTGAATGCTTCTATTCCTTCTGACCCAGTTCATTGAATTAGTGCATTTTCCGGGTTTTACACATTATTTTATGGCCTTACATATCCACTGAACCTTAAATTAAGCCAATGGGCTATTTTGCAGATCCAGCAAAGCACCTTCCTCAATGCTTATCAGGAAAACTAGATAAAATTAAAATGACCCAAACTGTAATCTATTTAGGAGAAGAATTACATCAGTTGCAGGCAATGGTGGGATTCAAATAATTTAACAACCGGTTCTCTGCCCCAATGATTTCTTCCAACAACCAGTTCACCAACTGCTCAGAAACTTAACAACCAATTCTCCCGAAGTGGTGCAAACTGGCTGAATCCCACCACTGGTTGCAGGGGTGGTATTCTACCGGTTCGGATCGGTTCTATAGAACCGGTTGTTATGATTCTGTGCAGTTCGGAGAACTGGCAAATTGTGCCCATGGCTGGCCCCACCCCTCTCCACCCGCCCCTCCTCTCCCCACCCAGTCAGTCCTTATCACACATGTGCGATGTTTCGCACATGCCCGACATTGCTGATTGCATTCTCCCCCATCCAGTCTGTCCTTAAGTATTTCTTTTTTTCCCCCTCCTGATGATCAGCTGTTCTGATGATCAGCTGTGCCAGGATCCCCCTCGCTGCCTTACTGCTTCGCCCAGGAGGCAAAAAGGGTGGGAGTGGTAGGGAGTGTGCTGCGCGCTCCCCCCCCCTCCATGCTCCATTTTTTCCTTCCTGGGCCCCAGGGAAGCCTTATGGGAGCAAAAATACCTGCCCAGGAGGCTTCCCTGAGGCCCAGGAGCAAAAAGAACTGGGGGAGGTGAAGAAGAAGAAGAAGAAGAAGAAGAAGAAGAAGAAGAAGAAGAA